AAAGGCCAATCATAAACTCAGCTCCCTAGCAGCCCTTGTCTGAGCTCATCCCTGTGGGCATTTCTCATTCTCACAGGCCTTGGCACAATATTTTGAGAGAGGATGAAACTCAGCCGTAGTCTCATGAGAAAGGTTGTCAAAAGGATGCAACGATTTCCACAATGCACTTGACCGATGAACAAACTATTCATTTTAGAAAAATGTGCAGAGCAATTTAGCGCAACTGGACATTCTGGACATTATTAAACTGCTCAGGACAGGGACTCTATCTGCTTTGGTCTCTTGGTACCTAAAATAGGTACTTGGAAAACACTCACTGGATGAATGAATGTCAATAACAGGTAGCTGTAGACCAGCAAAAGGTTTTCATGAGGCTAAGTCATTCTCTGCCCAATCTTAGAATGGAATATGGGAATGGCTAAAGTACCCGGACACACTCTGCAGGCATTTTGGAGATGCTTTTTAAAAGAATCAAAAATCAAAAAAAGAATCATTTATTTAAAAGTTCTAGAAAAACAAACAAACCAGGTTATATGAAATTTCTTCATCCTAAACACCCTCCTAAAACCAATCATTGAAGAGCCTTTAGCTATGTGAAGGAAAATCTGTAAAATGATACAAGCGATGAATGGTAGCGTATGACAAGGGCATAGATTTTCAGTCAGATACAGTTAAGCTCAAACTCTGACTCCTCAGTTGGTATTAGCTGTACAACCTAGAGAAAGCCCTTTACCTTGTTTAAATGTCAGGCTCCTCACTGGTAAAATGGAATATTAACTTCACTTTTCCTTTATTGAGTTTTAAGAATTAAGAAAGATGAACAGTGGTAGATACAGTGCCTGGCATTTAGCAGGCTCAATAGATCTGAATTCCCTCCCTTGCTTTCCTTAATCTTTCCTGGCCTGACACTTGTTTCAGAGGTAGGTAAGATCATGTCACTGTTTTATAAATGTTCTTATTCCTCCTTTTTAGAGACTTTTAAAAAACACATGAGTTGGAGGAGCTCTAAGTTTTGTACTCATTTTTTTCTGAGTATCAGATCTAAAACATTAAATCGTATTACATAACAGAAAAACAAGGGAACTGGGGGCTAGAACATAAAAATTATTGTAATTAGACTGGCAATAGAATTCTTTTTAAAGTCCATGGCTTTCTCTTTCTCTGTCTTGGCAGTTATCTCTAAAAATGGTTAAAGAGATACAATCAAAGAAGAGGCGGCCCTTGCTTCTGAAGTTACTGCTGTTTTAAGGGCTTTAACAGGGACATCTGTTGGATTTTTAACAAAGGAAGCCAGAGGAGTTCAAGGGAGAGTGAAGGAGACTATAGTTTACAAGGGATCCACATCTGTTTGGTATTCTCTCATCTGAGAAAGCTCGACTTCTGAAATAACATGGGTTGCAGTTAAACTTGAATCTAGGAACACATGAAAGCTTTTCTTTCCTCAGTGTTTCAATGGTAGAGATCAACAGCTGTTTATATCCTTTAATACCTAACTAAGGATGAAGCTTTCACATCTGTCAGTACTTTCCGGTTCTATTTCCTTGGATCACAGTGGGGAGGAGGTAAAGTTTGAACCCCTCCCAATTCCTAAGCAGGAACACAGAAATATGCCCAGGATTCAAAGCTGTAATTCTAAACAGAACTCCCCATTTCTCATCCACCCAGGGTCTGCTGTTTCCGTAGAGACATCTTGACAGTTTCCATGATAATGACTCATGACAGCACAAAGATCAAAAAGAAGAAAAGTAGGCTGGAGTCAGGAGGAGGAAGAGGAAGAAATGGAATGTAACAGAAAGAGTAGCTCCTAAAAATAGGTTCTTGCAAAAGACCTCGACAATAATATCTGAGGGTAAATCACGCAGGTGAGCAGGAGGTTGAGGGAGACCCTCATAGTGAGGGCAGATGGTGATGGTTTTACTGACCCCTACCATTTCACCTTGGAAAAGTTAAACAGAGAAAATAAAACCCTGTGGAAGCAAGGTGCAGGCAATATCCAGGAATGGATACAGAAGGATTTGGAGACATTTGTTTAAGTATGCTTTGATCATCAGTGCCACGCACGTTAGGACCTTATAAAGGTTATTTTTCCACTCATCCATACATTCATCCATCCAACAACTTATAAGACACCAGCACTAGACTTAGGGCTGAGGGATATTCAAATGAATTAGACATATTACATAGTTTAAGGAGCTTATATTCTAATGGGTGTAAGACATAGTGTCTGAGCTGAACCTCAAAGGATACGTGAGGATTCTAGACAAAGAAGTGGGTGATTACAGAAAGAGAGAACCACATGGATAAAACTATAGAGGTAAGAAACAGACTGTTTCTGGGGGAATGAAAGGCATTCTGAGGGGTTACAATTAACAGAGTAGTGCTGCGTGCTTATTAAAAGTGCACGTTCACGAGGAACTTAAACAACTCAATAGTAAGAAAACAAATAAATTAAAAAATGGGCAAAGGATCTGAATAGACATTTCTCAAAAGCAGACACAAATGGCCAACAAGTATATGAGTGGATAAAGAAAATGTGATTTATGTACACAATAAAATACTATTCGGCCTTAAAAAAAAAGAATGAAATTCTGGTTTTTGCAACAACACGGATGAACCTGGAGGGGTGTTCTGTTAAGTGAAATAGCTCAGCACAGAAAGACGAATACTGCATGATCTTATATACGGAATCTAAAAAAGGTTATCTCATAGAAGTAGAGAGTAAAATGGTGGTTACCACAGACTGGGAGTTGGGCAGGGAGGCTCAAGAGATGTTGGTCAAAGGATACAAAATTTCAGTTAGATAGGAGGAATAAGTTCAACAGATCAATTATACAACATGGTGACTACAGTTAAAAAAAAGTGCAGGTTCTTAGGTCTCACCTAAGAGATTCTGATTTAATTGTTAAGGGAGAGGATCAAGGAATTTGCATTTTGAACAGAAAGCCTAAGTAATTCTGATACAAACAAAAGTTTGACAACTCTGAGTTACCTAGCTTAACATTTCTCAAAAGATAGATACTAATGGTGTTCTACATAACAACAAAAAGAAAAGGTACCAGGGTCAAATTAGGAAACACCACATACCAAAGTATTCTTTTCTTGAAAATTCATAATGTACACTGGCATATTAAAAACCCTGCAGTAAAGAAGTCAATTTCACTTGGCATTTCCCAAACTTATTTTTCCATGGGACAAAAAAAAAAAAAAAATCATGATACTCTCATAAAGCTCTCCCAGAATAACAGAGAGCATAGAACGGGTAGAGGTAAAACAGAGAATTCTGATCAGGGGAGCTTGTCACCTGAGCATGTAGTGACTAAGAAAATGTATAGAAAAACAAAGCAAAGTCAATTACTCTGGGGGATATTAAGGCATCCATTGATTTCCTCCAAACAAAGCCTAAAACCATCTATGATGTCCTGTTTTCCAAGCAGACAGCCAGAAGCTTCCTTGCTCTCAAGCAACACACCATGGCTCTGTGCTGGTAACCACAGCCGCCAGAAAGAGCAGGAGTGCCCGGAGTTCAAAGCATCCAGGAGCAGACACAAGGGGAAGGATGAAGAGGAGTTATCCCTATCCACATTTATTTATCTTTATTGCTATCACATGTTCAGTACAGAGCATTGGCAGTTGTTTGAAAGGCTTCTGGAAAACAAAAATTTCTCCCAGCTCCAAATGTAGCCTCTGACAGTCAATGAAAGTGCAAAAGACATGAACCTAAGAAATTCCCACCCCTCCAAGGTGCATACTAGATGCCCAAGGGAGTTTTTGAAACCTGCCTTCTTCCTTCTACTCCATGAACTGAGGGGATGTGCCCTACCATACACCTCACCTCCTTCCTGTTAACAAGGGACAGGAGAGAGAGCATGAGGGGACCGGATAAACCAAGGCAATACCAGCATTCTGACATACTAGTTTCCTGAATATTTCAAGATGTACATACTGCACCAATCAATTTATACACTTTTTTTTTTCTGGTATAAACTTAATTACTTCCATACACCTCTTCTCAACTTTCCATATGCCACATGGGGACACCCCTCCCCCACATCTAGAGGTGATTTCAACAGTGTGTTTCAAATACTCTCTTTGTGCTCCAACCATCTCAGAGCTTTGTGATAATACTTTCCAATGGCACAATCATTTCACAAACATTCCCCGTTTACAAAGGTTCCAGGGCAATGTGCTAGGCACTGGAGATACATACAACAGTGAAAGTAGGAGATTGCTCATTCCTACTGCACCTAGGGCATAAAACACTGAATTTTAAATTCAGCCTATCAGTACATGGGAAATCCAATGACCAACAGTGTTAAGAAATATAAGAGGTAGAAAAGATTTGGTCCTTCTCCTTGAAGTGTTTCATGGTCTATAGCACAAAGCAAGCAAAATGATTTGCATTTCAAGTGTCCCACTGGGTCCAGCAGCTATGCAAAGGTCAGAGTTAACAGCACAGCCTGGAATTAATAATCTATGACTAGGAGAGGGAGGAGAATGCCAGGATCTTTTTTTTCCCCAGAATCTAAACCCTGTGTTTGTTTCATCCCCAAACAAATCCATGAATTCTCACACTGGGATTTCTTAATCCTGAGATGAATACCAGTAATTGCATCAGAGTCAATGTAACTTTAACTGGTCAATTAGCCAAAAAAAAAAAAAATTTTTTTTACCAGGTTAAGTGGGTGGGTTTAGAGTCTAGTCCTAAGGAAGCCAACGAGACCAAATCTAACATTTCACTAAGTCAGTGTTCCCCAGCCTGTGGTATGTGTACCACTGAGATACACAAAATAAACATAAGTGGTCCATAAAAATTTTTTTGTTCTCATTTCAATGAGGCTCTTAGATATGAAGAAAGAAATTGAAGGTATATGAATGATGGAATTTAGGGAATCATTGACATGTGTGCTTCCTAGCATTCAAAGGCCGTCTGTAAATTTTCTGAGCTTGGGGTGAGGGTGGGAGTGGTTGGCAAAAAAACTGAGAACTGGTCATGGACTTACCCACACATGTTGGAAATATGTCCTCATTGTTGATCTGAACCTCGATCCAGTCCATAAGAAGGTTCATGTACTGGGGAGCTGGCAATGCTGTCGGCTTCTTATATTTGAGGTCATCCTGCCATCGATACTCATATTTGGGGCCCCCTGACATCACAGGGCAGGTCCGCTCGGTGCAGAACTCACATATGGTGCCGTAGATGAGGTTGATCCGATTGAAGAAGTCCACCACGTGTACAGCCACCCAGTCGTTCTGGTCCTCCCCGCTGGGCAGCTGCACGGCTGCCTTCAGGTCCACACCCGAGTTGAGGGACGCCTGGGCCCGTTTGTGTAGCTCAAACCTCTGTGTACCGGGTTCAAATTTTCTCTTAGGCCGGAAGGTCTTGTCCTTGTTAAATACCTGTTTCAGGGCTATGGACATGGTCTTCTCTTTTGTTTCCTTCCTTTTGCAGGAATCAAAAAGGCACCTGGAACTTTTGAGTGAGAGATCGCAACCCAACAGGGTTTTCCACTGCCAGCCCTCAGGCCCCAGTCTTGCAGTCTACAGCTTTTAATCCTTTTTAAATAGCCCCTTCCACCTTCCTCTTGAATGATTTCCAAGGGAACCTCATGTTCCTTCCTAAAGACAGAAGAGAAAAGGGAACTCGTGAGTGTCCCATTTGCATTTAAGAAATGACAAAGGCTTAGACCTGATTTCCCCCTTGTGTTCCTTGCTGTGTCCATTTCCATGCAGGTATATAGACATGAGGTCAAGCCACTGCCCTGTGACTTGGTACTGATGATGCAAATCATGCAAATAACAAAAGAAGAAAAGACATCACACTGTTTCTTCACGGCCTTTTTCAAATCTCTGCTGGCTCTTCTCTGTGTGATCACAGGCTCAGGGGACCTCTCTAAGATGTTATGGTGTTGATCAATGACCTGGCCCTATTCCACATGGGCTCCTTTTTGAGCCCCAACCCCACCATTGCTCCTGATGAGTAAGTATGGGGCCACTACCCTGTGGACCACTGATGGGAGGGGGCGGCTACCACACCAAGAATGGCTAATAAGGCCGGGCATGGTGGCTCACGCCTGTAATCCTAGCTCTCTGAGAGGCCGAGGCGGGCGGATTGTTTGAGCTCAGGAGTTCAAAACCAGCCTGAGCAAGAGCGAGACCCTGCCTCTACTAAA